ACTGTTGTCCATGGAACAACTGAACTCCAAGGAAGCCCTACCTCCACGAGCTCTTTGTTCTTTAGGTGTGGCCCCTACATGGTAGGGTCTGAGGATGTGCAGGTGCTGTATGAGGACAGTATGACGGGGCCAGTCATAGCTCTCAGAATATTCATAACTGAGTCATCCGAGTCACACAAGCCAAGCCTGAAACTGGGCAGTTAGGGGAGAGCACTGTATACACAGGTCCCCCAGACACACCATCTACATATCTGACAGCCCACACAAGAACACATTCATCATTTGCCTTAAAGGAGGGATTTTTAAGAAGACACAAGAGTTCTAGGGGATATCAGAAATAGTTTGCATTGGGCGCCTGGGTGGCTCAGTTGGTTAAGCGACTGCCTTCGGCTCAGGTCATGATCCTGGAGTCCCGGGATCGAGTCCCACATCGGGCTCCCTGCTCGGCGGGGAGTCTGCTTCTCCCTCTGACCCTCCCCCCTCTCATGTGCTCTCTGTCTCTCTCATTCTCTCTGTCTCAGATAAATAAATAAAATCTTTAAAAAAAAAAAAAAAGAAAAAGAAATAGTTTGCATTAATTATACATGGGGAAGTAGAAAGAAAATTTAATCAGAATTATGTACCCCCTCCATGCTCAAGTATGGTTCAAAGGCTAGAAACCTAAAGAGATGCACTTAGACATAGAGCACACCTGAAACTAGTATTACACTGTATGTTAACCAACTGGAATTTTTTTTTAAAAAGATCTTATTTTAGAGAGAGAATGCACAAGCTGGGGGAGGGACAGAGGGAAAGGGAGAGGGAGAGAATCTCAAGCAGACTCCCCGCTAAGCACGAAGCCTGAGGCAGAGTTCTATCCTGCAACCAGCCCCCACCTCCCCGAGATCATGACCAGAGCCCAAATCAAGAGTCTGACACTCAACCAACTGAGCCACCCAGGCACCTCTAACTTAGAATTTAAACAAAAACTTAAAAAAAAAAGAGTAGAGGCAAAGCCCATCTATTCCAACAAATGAGATGAAACAGATGGCAAGGAGGCAGTAGCCAAACCTTTTCCCTCCAGAGGCTACAGCAAACTAGTCCAGAGCCTTGTAGAGGTGACAGATGCACCAGGCAGATATATGACCCTATACTTGGGAGCAAGAGAGGGAAGGGCTGATTCAAGCAGGCTCAGGTGTCACCTCCTGAAAGTGTAACATTTTCCTCCAGCTTCGTTAGCAAACTTTTCATTCCAGATGCAAAGGGTAATCACGTCTAGGCTTCCTCCAAGGGCAGAAAGCCAAAGCACACTGCAGTGTGACAAATGAAGCATCCCCACAAGCATAAAGAACAGGGAACCGGCAGCTTTGCCACAGATTTGGAATGTGAGTGATGAGCACGTGACAGAAGTAGAGGCTGGAGACCAGAGATGGGGGGATAACCACGTTTTATTTCTTAATGTATTAAATTTAAGATGCTGGTGACACTCATGAAATACCCAGCAAGCTGGTAAAGAACTTCTGGAACTCAAATTAGGGGTCAGGGCAATAGATTTTAGGAACTTTTTGCAGGGAGGTGATAAAATCTTGTGCATCTCAGGGAGACAGTAAAGCAAGATGAGGACCAAGGACACAAGCTTAGGGAAATATACACTGGCTGACGCATTCTGGTTATACAGTCCCCAAGTTTTTCCTCTTCTTTGCATAGAGATTCCTCTTAACCTTGACAAATTCCTAATGCTTATCTTATTCTCTTCCCTTCTACCTTGAGCAGTAGTAAATTTTCCCCCCAAACCTGACAGTCAAATAGAGACTTGGAATAAATGACTTTACTCAGCAAGGCCATAAAAAACGTTGTAGTAGGGCGCCTGAGTGGCTCAGTTGGTTAAGCGACTGCCTTCGGCTCAGGTCATGATCCTGGAGTCCCGGGATCGAGTCCCGCATCGGGCTCCCTGCTCGGCAGGGAGTCTGCTTCTCCCTCTGACCCTCCTCCCTCTCATGCTCTCTGTCTCTCTCTCATTGTCTCTCTCGCAAATAAATAAAATCTTAAAAAAAAAAAAGTTGTAGTAGAGTGCAGTGTTAGAATGGATTAATAACCCTTCACAAGAAAAGAACTATGGTATCTGAGATAACATAAGATTCTAATTGCATTGATCTGTATAATTTGAGCAAAAAAAATCACTTATGTTTTCAATTGCAAGCTGGAACTTTACATCTAATTTTCAAAAGCTCCCCTCCCATACTTCTCCCCCAACATTGACAGAACACACGGAAGTTGCCTGTATAAGGAATGCAGGATTTAACACAAATGTTAGGACTTAAGGTTTAATTTATTATATTTTACCTGTCTTTCCTGAATTTCTTGAACCATTAAGTGACTGTTTGTAGTTCCCATATTTTTCTCACTATATACACAGAATGAACAAAAGTCGTGGTCATTGTTCCCTGAGGGGCCCCTTACACGTTTTAAGCAAGCTAGCAGAAGTACAGTGTAATCGCTCCAACACTCAACAGAGAAAGTGACTGGGTTTCAGCTGTCTGCACTGAAAACTGTTTCATAACATTCAACCTAGTGTATGTGCAGTTTCAACACAGCTCAGCACTGAATAAGCACTAGACTGAGGTGGGAAGAACGCTAACCCAGGTGTTCTTGACATTATCTGATAAAGGGAACTCAAAAGGCTTGGTGTTGGCTGGTTGATGGATAAGCTTTATGACATTAATGAGGCAGGAGCAGGTTAGTTTGTTTTACACCCCCCTGCAAAAGATTAACCCAGTTTTCTCAGTGCTCACTAAGGAAGTCCTAAATAAGAACTTTTATCAAATGTGGACTCAAAAAAACCCACAGTATCATTGATGGAAACATTTTACAAACACACAGTAATAAGGGTAGAACTTTTCAACCCTCTGGACCAGAGGCCTTCGTATGGGATACGTTTAACCCTATGAGGGGTACCCTAAAACTTTTCAAGGGGTCCTTGAGCAAGAGTAATTTAAAGGATCTTCTTCCACATTCTCTCCTCTCATACATACCCTTCCCTCAAACTGAGCAGTCTGAAAAACAACAAAACACTGTATTCACAGTATTTCCTCCATTCAGAGGCACACCGCTCCCCTTCCCAACTTACACCAGGCTGTACGGCCCAGAGGCATTAAGGTCTAAGGTGCACAGAGTGTTAGTCCTTGGGGCTTCCTGAGTTTCCCTATTCTGTATTTCTGTTGAGGGAGATTTAGAGACAGAGCATTTGGGGAATTATTACAATGTGTTCAAAATTCAGATATGTGGTAACAAGCGGGGTACAGCGGAAGTAAGGAGGATTTTTATTTAACAAACTGGTCACTGTCTATCTTCAGATTCCTGCCAAGGAAGAAACAGATCCTTCTAGATGGAAGCCCCACCAGCAAAGCAGGAAGTACCTGTAAGAAATGCTGAATGCTACAGATTTTCACGTAAGTAATTTTTCCTGCTACTTAAAATACTCTTCTTTAGAACAATCACTGACTGGAAAGTAAAGTACCTTTGAGCAGTCAAAACAAGAACAGTTTGGTGATGCTGATCTTAAAACGATAACTTGAACTTGTAACATGAAATATTTTTAAGGACGACTAGAATTTTCAAGATGCACTGAATAAAAACTGCAAAGAAAACTTTTCATGATCATATCATGAAATATTTACTCCAAATACAGCCAAATCTCAATTTATTTAATCTCATGAGATGATTACCATTTCCTACCACCATTAACAGAAAATAAATTAGATTCTAGCTGCCACATCAGTTAGTTTTTAGCAGCCTATAACATTTTATAGGAAAAGTCTGATCATATCTAATAAATTTAATGTTATATTTTGATTCCTAATTCTACCAAAAGCCAAACACCTACCTTCGTTCAATATACACACAAAGGTTTATTGAAAGACTATCTTATCACCCTACTTGCTATAAGTTACTATGAATAACTTTTAATTTTAGCTTACAGATAACTCATTGTTACAAGTTAAATAATGAGAAATAGTGTATTTATCTTGTTTCTTAAAAAATTGTTAAATCTATGTGATTTTAAGTCTTGACTACTTTTAGTAATCTCTTACAAGAAGTGTTTGGTGATGTTCTTGATGATTTTTATATTCTTCAAAATTCATTAACACATTTGAGTTTTCAAGTCAGACTTTTCCTGACAGAAAGGAAGTCTGGTTTGGTTATTTGATTTAATGATGAGATGGTAGATCTTTCACTTTCATATATGGTGGACATTTACCATAAACCGATTAAATCTGCAGCCCCAAGGTTTTCATGAATTACATATTTATGAAACATTTATTATGATGAAAATATATTTAAAGCACTAATTCTATCAAAAGAATGTATCTGAAAGGTGTTTTGAAAGTAACAGACTGGATTTCCCAACTGGGTTAAATATATTGAATTAAATAAAGCTTTTCTAAATTAAAGAGTAACAATTACAATTAACAATCATTTGATAGTCTTGGTAAAGCCCTCGGGGTTTATATCCCCAAATTTGAGAATGAATAATTCTAAGTAACAAACTCTTCTAAATGTTAGGCAGCTACCAATTTTCTGTTCTCAACAAAAAATGAACAATAAACTAATCATGATGTCAGCTGAAGGATGATTAAAACCACAATGTGATTTTTAGCATGGAATTTTAAAAATTGAGTAACATTGTTTTAATAAAGCTACTTCCATTCCCATCTCTTTATTTAGGGGCTGTTTTCAGCATTTACATAGACAGAAATGAAAGACAGATACATAATTAATGGTGAACCTTCCTTCATTCGATCAATGCCATTTATCCAAGGATATATAAACTAATCAGAAAAATAATCTCATTAAAAGAGGACTTTCAAAAACTTCGCATTTAATAAGTATCAAATTTTTAAATATATTTATATTTTGATCAATTACATAAATTAATTTAATCTCAATACAGAAGAAATTTAGCACAGCTTTAAGATCACAAGAAAATAAAATTTTACATGTACTTATTTTTGTTGCAAAGATGTATATGACAGTGTGATTGATATGACTTTCAAGCATAAAAATATATAGAAAAATTCTAAGGCAACCAACTGCAGGAATATGAAAATTTGATCTAATGGAATTGACCCCTGTCCCTCAAACCAGCCTCCTATTCCCAAACATTCTAAGCTTCTCTGGGGAAGGCACTTGCTGCTGGTGGTGGTGGTGGTTAGAAAGTGATCGCCAGCTTGTCTAAGTTTCATTATTTTTACTTTTGTCCTGTGTGACAGTACAGACTAAAACATACACTCCCCCCGCTTTATTATTGCAATAATATGATTTCAGATTTTCACAATTCAATTTTTGGGGGTCCCATCTAGGTATTATGGTAGAGTTTTGCTGTGTTACATTAGGATAAAATCTTGTGAGGAAATTGCAATGAAAATACAACTTCAAGAAAAAAGAAAGATCTAAATTTTAAATATTTGTGTATTTTTCTTTGTGTATTATCTATACTGGTTGATGGTACTGAATTTCTACGATATCTCGACTCTACTGGGTATATCTGAAAGAGTAATGAACATTTTGTTTTAAAATATCAATATTTATACTATGCTGGAAATTATACCCCTTTGCCAATTTATTTAAACTTAGGGTCAGCTTTAAATATACAGTGTTAATATTTTCCTTTTAAAACTAGTTTTTAAAAAAGTATTAGGGAGTACTTGTGCATAAAAGTTTGAAAAATCACGGCTCCAAACAAAGGAAAAGTAAGCAATGACCTTTTCAAAGCCAAAGATAGTTGGAGCAGATTTTTTTTTTATCAGCAGTGCAGAGTCTGAACTAGGAAGGAGAGCTTAACATTTGTTTGCTTTTCCTGGCACCTAGAGGGAAAGCCAAGTATAGACGGGGATTAACCATCACTGCTACTGAGTCAAAGTCTCTAAAAATGTATTTATGGTGCATAGTAACAGAGAACAGCCCAGCCCGTATCTGTAAGTCTGCCCACGAGGCAACCCCTTTCTCAGAGAGTAGTCAACACTTAAGCTCTCCACCCTTTGCAATTTCAGAAAAAGGTACTGATCTTATGGAACACATTTTACCACCATTAATTATTTTTAACTGAGCATCCCTTATGTGTTAGGTTCTGGGGATACAATATGTAAGAACCTGCACTTGAAGAATTTACAATCTCGTTGGAGGAACAGAAAAAACATGGAGATAAATATGAATCTGTGCAATGAGGGAATAAATAGATGAACTTATTGCCAAAGGTCTGGGTAGTTGCGGAAGGAGAAGGCTGGAATCAAAGCAGGTCTTAAAAAAAACCAGAAGCGAGAGCACAAGATTGATAGGCTAATTTGCTGGGGCCTGAAGCAGGTATGATGGTGAGTAGAATAGCGATTCGACCACAGCAGATGGCTGCCATAAAGTTGGAAGGACCCCCAGCAAGCCTCACCGCTGTGGACGCCTTGGCTACTGAGGACCCCCCAGTCTTGAGGAACGCGGATTCCAGCTGCTGCCTCTCCTCTCCCTCGGGGCTGGTGGTGTGGCCCAGTGAGCCCGGTCCCCAGGACCCCAGCTGCGGCTACGCCCCACTCCGAGCTCGGGATGCCACAGCGCCCCGCCACATACAGGACCAGAGCTGCTACCGCTCTGTGCCCCCTCCCCCAGGGGGCAACTCTGTCCCACCATCATGGGACACCTGTTGCTGCTCGGAGCCCTGCCCTCAAGGTCGCGCGTCCTGCTTGCACGGCCATCCCTGGGGCCCTGCTGCCACTACTCTGAGACCTGCACCCACCGGTCCCAGCTCACGGCTCTGCTGTCACTGTAGTCACCGAGCTCGCACCCTTCCGCAACCCTCCCCCTGGGTCCCGACACGTGGCTTCAGCGGGCCTCCCCAGGAACATGCCGCTGCTGCTGCCATCCTGAGACTGCACCCGGACCCACTGTCCCCCGGCTGTGCCGCGACCGCACACTACCCCTTGGGCCCAAACCACCGCTGCACCCTGTCATCCCCGGGCCTGCGCTGCTGCAGCCCCCTCCCCGCCACCCCACCCGAGTCACTGGGAGGAGCCCGGGACCCAAACCCTCGTTTCACAGATCAGCCCGCGCCTGGACCCCCTGGACGCCAGACACCCGCGGCCACGGACCCCAGGCGCCGTGGTAGCTCCACGCGCACGTGATCCCAGGACCCCACCCCACCACCGCTCTGAGGGCCAGGACGCCAGGCCAAGTGCCAGGAGGCAGCCCTCGGCTAGAAACTTCTCCCAGGGGCAAAAAAGGAGAACTGAGGGACCCCAGCAGCCTCTGCCTCCGAGGATCCCACCAGCCCTCGCCACCACTGCCACGCACAGGACCTCTGCAGGACGACCAGCGGGAGCTCGGCCCCTCCAATGACGGGGGATCCCTTAAGGGACATGAAGCCATTTACTGCAGATAACGGATGATTATCACAGATTCAAGAAAAGGTTTAGATTAAAAAATACATAAATTACTGGAGAGGCTGTGACTACCAATGAAGAAGCTGCTGCTACAGTTTTGGCAGAGTTGAAGAAGCTGATTAAAGAGAAAGGATACTCGGGGCGCATGGATGGTTCAGTCAGTTAAGCATCCAACTCTTGATTTTGACTTAGGTCATGAGATTGAGCCCGCATCGGGTTCCATACTGGGTGTGGAACCTTCTTAAGATTCTCTCTCCCTCTCCCATCCCCCCCCCCAAAAAGAGAAAGGATGCCGCCCAAACCAAGTCTTTAACTGCAATGAAATCAGTCTTTTCTGGAAGAAGATGCCCTATAGAATGTACCCTCTTAAAAGCGCAAGAGGGGTCCCAGGGCATAAAACATAGAAGGACAGGCTAACTCTACTATGTGGCAACACTTATGCAAGGTATATGATACACCAGGCAGAGGGTACAGAGCAAAGAACCCATGCGCTGTCAAAAACGAAAACAAAAATTATCTGCCCATGTTCTGGCAACATAATCAGAAAGCATGGGTGAGAGCCATCTTTTTTCTGGAATGGTTCCACCAGTGCTTCATCCTGAAAGAGAAAAAATACTTGGAAGAGGAAGGGTTGGAATTTAAAGTCCTATTAATAACAGTGCCACTACCTGGCCATCCTGAATCTGTTTGCAATGAAAATGAAAATGCTGAAGTTTCATTTTAACCTCTAAATACCTCATGGCTTCAGCCCCGTGGCCAGGGCATCATTTGCTTTGTGAAAGCCACAAACACCTGCCTCGTATTTGATTGCATTCAACCATCAATTGGTGCAGACTCTAATCTGGACATAATGCAGGGCTGGAAATCATTCATTACTGCTCATGCAGTAACATTCATCAAAGCTGCAATGGATGAATTAAAACCAGAAACTGTATATGCCTCCTAAAACTTATCAAGTGAAGTCGTGGATAATTTTAAAGACTTCCCAAGGGATTGATGGAGAAGTTAGGAGAATCATTCACACAGCAAGATAAGCTATTGGAGAGGAATTGCCAACATTCTTGAGAAAGTGAAGAACATATTGAAGGCCATCAAGAAGTGTTAACAAATGAGGAATTAGAAGAACTTCTGGAATCATGTATAGAAGAGGAAGATGAAGAAGAAACTGAAGCACAACCAGCAATGTAGACATTCCCAAAATTTGCTGACATATATTGAATTGCACAAAGGACAAAATCATGGAATACAATCCTCAGATGGAACGCAGCATTAAAGTCACCCATATGATCACCAAAGGATTACAACCTCTACAACAATACTTTGATGAGTTACAAAGACAATCATTTCTGATTATAACGTTCTTCTATAAGATTTCAGCAAAAAAAAACCCTTCACCTATGGAGGATCCCCAACCATCAACACTGTCTGCTCCTGACATCCAACCACCGACACTGTCATGGCTCAATGATTCAGGATCACCCAAATCAGACGATCCTCCTTCTGACGTATTGTCAGAAAGCCAACAGTGGCTTAACACTACATCACAGTGCTTACGTCATTCACCTCACTTCAGCTCATCATGTAGGCATTGTATCATCTCACATCATCACAAGAAGAAACATGAGTACAGTACAATATTTTGAGAGAGACCACATTCACATAACTTTTATTATACTGTTGTACCTATTCTACTTCATTATAAGTGACTTGTTAATCTCTTACTGTGCCTAACTTACAAATTAAACTTCATCATAAGCAAGTGTGCATAAGAAAAAACATAGCATATATAGGGTTCAGGACTATCTGTGGTTTCAGGTATTCACTGGAGGTCTTAAAATGTATCCCCAATGGACAAAGGGAGCACTACTCCACAGATGAATAAAATGAAAAATGCAACAGAGAACTTCAACAGCAGGCTCAATAAGGCAGAAGAAAAAAATCTGAGAACTTAAAGGCAGATCTCTTGATATTATCCAGAGGATAAAAAAATTAGAGTAAAAAAGAGTGGAGAGAGGACAGCACAGCTCAGCCCAGTGGAGGGATGGTGACAGAACCTATGGGCTGGGTGGCAGGCTCAACCACAGGGAGGAAGATAGCAAGGACCACCACTGCTGGGGAGAGAGAAGATGCTTGGGGGTTTAGGCAACTTACACCTCCTCCTACAGTGGAGATGGCACTGCCCACGGGGGACCGGCTGTCTCAGCAATCCTGTACCCAGGTGGGCAGCCCAGAGCACAGTGCTCTGCCACTTCTCAGACCACCATTGGCCAGATGTCCACCCTTCTAGGCCCCTGAGCTCAGGACAAGGGCCTGCTGGGTTGGGCTGCGGGGGGGCGGGGGGGGTACAGAACCCTTTGGTGTGCAGACTGGTGTGCACACTGTGCTAGATAGGGACTAGGTGCAGAAAGCTGCCTCACTGGGGATTCTCTCATTGGGGTCTCACTATCCCACCCCCACCTCCTTTGCTAGAGCTGGGCACCAAGGGCTTCGGAGGACCGGTACCCTCTTCTCCACCCTCAATCTTGGTGTGTGCAGGTCACACTTCTCTTTGCAATCCACACCCAGCAACCACTGGATGCCCCTGCTCTGGGCCCACAGGACTGAAGGGCAGAACTTTTATGTTCTTATAAGCCCTAAGACCTGGAAAAGGGGACCTGGATTTTTTTTTTTTTTTTTTTTTTTTTTGAGACAGAGAGAATGAGACAGACAGAGAGCACATGAGAGGGGGGAGGGTCAGAGGGAGAAGCAGGCTCCCTGCCGAGCAGGGAGCCCGATGTGGGACTCGATCCCGGGACTCCAGGATCATGACCTGAGCCGAAGGCAGTCGCTTAACCAACTGAGCCACCCAGGCGCCCGGGGACCTGGATTTTATTCCTACCAAACAGTAGAATGTCTTTGTTTCAGCCACTGAATTTAGCTTCACAATTCAGCAAGTAGGATTGTTAATGCTTGCCTCACCAGGTTTAAATGGTGCCCCCCGCCACACCTTTAAAAAAAATATCATTCATAGGGGCGCCTGGGTGGCTCAGGAGGTTAGGTGGCTGACTCTTCATTTTGGCTTAGGTCATGATCCCAGGGTCCTAGCATTAGGCCCTGCACTGGGCTCCATGCTTGGTGGGGAGTCTGCTTGAGATTCTCTCCCCCTGTTCCTCCCCCTAATCGTACTCTCTCTCAAATAAATAAATCCTTAAAAACTATTATTCATGTAAATACATTAAAAAAAAAAAAGAGTAAAGAAAGCTTACTTGAACTATGGATCATCAAGTGAAACAATATTTGCTTTATGGGAGTCCCAGAGGGAGAGAAAAAGAGAAAGAGATAGAAAATTGACTTAAAGAAATAACGGCTGAAAATCTCCCAAATCTGGGGACATATAGTCATCCAACTCAAAGATCCCCAAATAGATTCAACCCAAAGAAATCTTTACTGAGACACATATAATAAAAAAAAAAAAAATCTCAAAAATCAGAGAAAAAGAGAATTTTGAACACAGCAAAAGAAAAAAGTTTGATTTCTCAGCAGAAACCTTGTAGGCCAGGAGAGTATAGGATGATATATTCTAAGTGCTCAAAGAAAAAACTGTCAACTGTCAACCAAGAATACTTTACCTAGCAAAGTTGTCCTTCAGAAATGAAGGAGAGATACAGACTTTCCCAGACTACCAAAAACTGAGGGAATTTGTCACTAGACCTGCCTTACAAGAAATGCTAAAGAAATGCTTAACTTTTGAGTTCAGCTGTTGTCAGCTTACTTACACAAGACTGTTGTTGTAACTATGAGATATACTATGAAAGCCTCATGGTAATCACAAAGCAAAAGCCTATAATAGATACACAAATGATAAAAAGAAAGCATACCACTACAAAAAACCATCAACGCACAAAGAAAGGAAGAAAGGAAAAAAGGAACTACAAAACAATCAAAAGTAATTAACAAAATGGAGATACTAAGTCCCTATCTATCAATAATTACTCTAAAGGTAAATGGTTTAAATTCTCCAATTAAAAGAAATAGAGTGGCTAAATGCATATAAAAACAAGACCTAACTATATGCTGCCATTAAGAGACTCACTTAAGCTTTCAGGGCACTCATAAGCTAAAAGTAAAGGCATAGGAAAAGATATTCTATGCAAATGGAAAACAAAAGAGAATAAAGTAGCTATACTTGCATTGGACAAAACAGACTTTACCTCAAAAACTGCAACAAATGAGGGCCACTTCATCAAGAGGATATAACAATTATTTATGTACCCAATACTGAGCACCTAAATATATTAAACAATTATTAACAGTTCTGAAGGCAAAAATAGAAAGCAATGCAATAATGGTAGAGGATTTCAATAGCCCACTTTTAACAATGGACAGATCATCCAGACAGAAAATCAATAAGGAAATAATAGACTTGAGTGATACTTTAGACCAAATGAACCTAACAGACATATATAGTATATTTCAACCAACAGCAGCAGAATACATGTTCTTCTCAAGCACACACGTAACACTCTCCAAGACAGATCATATCTTAGGTCACAAAATAAGTCTCAAAAAATTTAAGACGACTGAAATCATATCAACTATCTTTCTGACCACAATGGTATAAAACTACAAGTCAATGATAGGAAGAAAGCTGGAAAAGTTCACAAATATGTGGAAATTAAACAAAACACTTCTGAGAAACCAATGGATCAAAGAAGAAATCAAGAGAACTCAAAAAATATCTTGAAACAAATAGTACATAAACAATGGATTATTATTCAGCCATAAAGAAAAAGGAAATCCTGTCATTTGCAGCAGTGTGAATGAACCTGGAGAGCTAAGTGAAATAAGGCTGATGGGCAAAGACAAATACTGCATGGTGTCACTTATATGCAGAATCTTAAAAAAAAAAAAAAAAAAAAGCTAATATCATAGAAACATAACAGAATGGTGGTTGCCAAGGGCTGGGGATGGAAGAGATGGGCTAATATAGGTCAAAGGGTACAAATTTTCAGTCATAAGAAGAGTAAGTTCTTAGGCTCTAATGTACAGCAGTGCCGACTATGGTTTCGTATACTTGAAAGCTGCTGAGAGTAGACCTTAAGCATTCTCCTCACCACAAAAGAAAAAGTTAACTATATGAAGTGATGTGATCTTGGTAATCATTCCACAACATACACCAAATCATCACATTTACACTTTAAATATATACACCGACATTTGTCAATTATTCCTCAACAGTTTTTAAAAAAATGAGAACAGTAAAACATCACCAAATAAAATATCTGACTGAGCCAAAAGGATACTGACAACCTGTAATGCTGAAAGCCTTAAAAAGAAATACAAGAGGAGTTTGTCAGTACTTGGGCTATTTTGCAAAAAGGAAAAATCGGCCCAGAAATTAGAAGTCTGACTTAAAAACAAACAAAACAAGAGGGAATATTTCCTTGCCCAAATCAGATTTCCCCACTGCAATTTTAGCTACTGACAAGCAACTACAGAAGCTGGCAACAGACAATTACGATTTTGCTGTGGCATGAATTTGATTTCTAAGGTTAAGGTGGCTACGTGGAAAAAAATCACCTAAAAAGTGTGCCAGTGGACCTCCTGGCATCCACATCTCAACAGTGATGTGCTGTTCTCTACTACTCTGCCCTGGCCCAACTCAGTAAGGATTTGAAGGAAATTCTCTGAAATTTTCAGCAATACTTTATGGTATATTATATGGTGCTATTTAGGATTCACAAAAATTTCAACATATATCCATTTCACCCCCAAAGTTTACTACATAAATGTAAAACACCTAGATTTCCTTGTTTTACTATAATCCATATCGGTTTGTCTAAGGGCATCACATTCCCTTGTGCCTTCTGTTATCTACTTGTTAGTCTTTATTCTTATTCTACAACTACCGCTCAAAGGCAAAATTCATTCTTTCTACAGCACTGTGGAAAGAATTCTCAGACCAAGAAAAATGCCTCCTTTTTTCCTATGCATCAGGGCTGGAAGCTTCTATAAAATTCATTTAGTTAATATATAAATCATTAAAATAAAGTAGCAGCACAACTACTAATAGAAAGGAAAAGAGAAGAAGCAAATTGTTCATGAAAACTATAGGGAGAAATTCAGTATTTTTACCTTCTAGATAACAGTTTTGCTTTTTCAACGCCATAAACTCACTTATGTTTTTAGAATTAGTTAAGAATTAACTATTCAACATTTAGTGGTCACTATGTAAAATCAACTTGTAATAAAAACATAAGATATGTTAAAAAGCATTACTTGATTTTATTACCTACTCATAATGTTGAATACAAATGCAAAATTAAGTGGTGACCCTTATTTTTAGTCTATTTCAAAGCATGGTTTCTTAGATTTAAGAATTAGGGCAGATTTGTGTCACAAGAGGGAGGGGAACCAAAAAAATGAAGTCCAAAAAACCCCACGGATATGTTTATGTGTTATAAAGTTTGAGCTACAGCCCTTATATTCCTTCAAATGGAATTTTCTTCTGACTTTCTATTAACCTCACCAGTAACTGAATTCTTAACAAGACCCTATAATCCACCACAAGTCTTCCAACTACAAATTGAAAAGAAATGTAGGCAGATATGTGTACCAAGTACTTTATGAAATTCACCATGCACAGCTGAACTTCACATACAGAATTCAAAAACCAAAAGGACTGTGATATTCTTAAAACCCAAAGGCTAGACAAGGCCTTCCAATCTTTCCTGCACTGTAAGAAATGACTCGATCTAATGATGTTAATGTAGAAATACATTATGTATTTTAATATCAATAAGATATGACATTCAAGGGGAGTGCCAATAAGCCTTTGCATTTTAAAACCAAAAGGGACATATCTTGGACACCTTAAATTATAAAAGTCAATTCTAAGCAGGAACTGTTACTGTGTAACAAGTACTGCTCATATCAAAAGTGCTGGTGACAAAAAATTCAATATGCCCTCCCCACAGAATCTGTTCACACACATTTATATATAACTGTAACTGTAGTAAGATTGTAAATGTTTAAGGTGCTTAAATTTTGCACCGCAGGACTAATTCAATAAGTATTCATCTGCTAACTCTTTGTAGCAACTCCAGTTAGAGTGAATGATCCATGGGCAAAGGGCAAAAATGCTGTTATTTTCTAGAATGTGGCATTTGTGGAGCTGGAGTGCCCTCTATTGGTAATGAAGAAGATACACTCATCAGCTGTCCTGCATGCATTTTCTCATTAATTCGGAGTTCACATCCATCTTGAAGCATTCGAACTGCTATTCGGGCAATGTTCTTAGAGTCGTCAAGACCGCTGTGAGGCCGCCCATCATAATCCATTCCTAGCTTTTCAAGCATTATTGTCAATTTGGTTTGGCTTCTAGGAACCTGGAAAATAAACAGCTTAGTAAATAATTCTTTAGTATTCTGTAAGTCACTATGAAAAATAAAATGAAAATTAACAGTAATAGCTAAAGTTAGGCAAAAGACAAATACTCTTATAACTCAAACCTTCAGAGCTTTAAAAAAATTATCTTAAGTTAGAGATGAAAATACATACAAATAGGTAGAATCCTCAAGACATCTAAAGAGTCTGCAGTTTTGTAATTTGACAAATCATTTATGAAAGGAAATGTATTGCTCTGGACATCTAAGTTGAAGATCTACTATTTTTTTTTTTTAAGTAGGCTTCCTTCCCAGCATGGAGCCTAACACAGGACTTGAACTCACAACCCTGAGATCAAGACCTGAGCCAAGATCAAGAGTCAGACACTTAGCCAACTGAGCCACCCAGGCACCCCAAAGCTCTACCATTTTAACCCGAACATTCTTTTCCATGGTATTTTACTATGATGTATTATTTTATTTGACAGACTCCTTAGACAGATACACCAAAAAAAAAAAAAAAAAAAAAAAAGATCTAGCCTTTCTATGACTAAAGATAATTAAGATCCAGCATGAAAGAAATTATCATGTGGTATTTTTCAACCTATTTATATTTAAATACCTGCTCCAATTTAATAAATGTAAAAATCTCACTCCCCAGATTCCAATATGCCCCTCCACTTTTGAGAACCACTATTCTATCTTCTGCGTATATGTTAAGTTTTATATTCTGTAGTTTGTATAGCTATGTCACCTATACATCTTGGGGCCTCAAGTTCTTCGTCTGTAAAATAAGACTAATAGTTACACTCCTTACTCACTGGGTTATCGAGAGAATCACAAAGCAAATGATATAAAAGCACCATGATAAACATCAATAATTATCCTATTGTAATACCGCAATGCATTCTGGTCCTTTTGCTAAGTATCACCTAGAAAAATGTGCTTGCAAAAATAACTTTTCCAACACATTGAACAACTTAGGTGAAATGGACTATTCCTAGACCCACACAACCTACCAAGGCTGAATCATGAAGAAAACAGAAAATATGAACAGACCTACAATAAGTAAGGAGGACTGAACTGGTAATCAAAAACCACCCAACAAAGAGAAGCCCAGGACAGGAATTCTACAAAACATTTAAATAAGTCTTAACACCAACCCTTCTCAAACTCTTGCAAAAAACTGAAGAGGAAGGAACACTTCCTAAATCATTTGATGAGCTTAGCATTATCCTGATAGCAAGGCCAAAGACACTATAAGAAAACTACAGACCATTATCCCTTATAAATACTGATGCAAAAATCCTCAACAATACTAGCAAACCAAATTCAGTGGCATACTAAATGTATTATATGCCACAACCAAGTGAAATTTATTCTTGGAAAGCAAGGATGGTTCAACATACAAAAAATAATATAACAAACCACATTAACAGAATGAAGGGAAAAAACACATCACCTCAATTGATGCAAAAAAGTCATCTGACAATAAACACCCTTTCATGATAAAAATACTCAACAAATTAGGAACAGAAGAAAACTACCTCAAAATAATAAAGTCTATATAAAAAAATTTAGAGTGAACATCATATTCAATGGTGAGAAGGCTGAAAGCTTTTCCTCTAGGATCAGGAACAAGATAGGGATGCTCACTTTCACCACCTCCATTCAAAATAGTATCAGAAATTCTAACCAGAACAAGTAGGCATGAAAAAGAAATAAAAGGGATCTGAACTGGAAAGGAAGAAGTAAAGTGATCTTTGTTTGCAGGTGTCATGATCTTATACGCAGAAAGTCCTGAAGATTCCACCAAAAAACTGCCAGAACTAATAAGCAAAGATAGCAAAATCACAGGATACAAAATCAACACACAAAAATCAGGTGCATTTCTATACACTAACAATGAAGAATCCAAAAAGGAAATTAAGAAAACAATTCCTTTTCAGTAGCAAAAAAAAAAAAATTTTTTTTTTTTTAAAGATTTTATTTATTTGAGAGAGAGAGAATGAGAGAGAGCACATGACAGGGGGGAGGGTCAGAGGGAGAAGCAGACTCCCTGCCGAGCAGGGAGCCCAATGCGGGACTCGATCCAGGGACTCCAGGATCATGACCTGAGCCGAAGGCAGTCGCTTAACCAACTGAGCCACCCAGGCGCCCAAAAAAAAAAAAAATTTAACCAAAGAGGTGAAGGACTTGTACATCAAAAACTACAAAATGTTGCTGAAAGAAATTAAAGATAACATAAATGGGAAGATACCTGTGTTCATAAATTGAAAGATTTAATATTGTTCAGCTATCAATAATTATCCAACATGATCTATAAATTCAAAGCAATCACTAATAAAACATTAGCTCAAGGGCGCCTAGGTGGCTCAGTTGGTTAAGCGACTGCCTTCGGCTCAGGTCATGATCCCAGGGTCCTGGGATCGAGTCCCGCATCAGGCTCCCTGCTCGGTGGGGGGCCTGCTTCTCCCTCTCCCACTCCCCCTGCTTGTATTTCTGCTCTCGCTGTCTCTGTCTCTGTCAAATAAATAAATAAAATCTTTAAAAAAAAATAAAATAAAACATTAGCTCAAAATGGATCAAAGACCTAAACCTAACAGTCAAAACTATAAAATTCTTAGAAGAAAACTTAAGGGAGAAGTTTCATGACACTGGATTTGGCAACGGTTTCTTGGATACAACACCAAAAGAGACAACAAAAGAAAAACTAGATAAACTGGACTTCCTAAAAATTTAAAACTTTTGTATATCAAAGGGCACACTATCAACAGAGAAAAGCAGCCCAAAGAATGGAAGAAAATATTTGGAAATCATAGATCTGAAAAAGGATTAACATCCAGAATATATAAAGAACTCCTGGGCACCTGAATAGCTCAGTCGGTTAAGCTTAAGCGTCTGTCTGCAGCTCAGGTCATGATCCCCTGCTCAGTGGGGAGTCTGCTTCTCCCTCTCCCTCTACACCTCCCTCCTGCTCTTGCTCTCTCTCTCTCAAATAAATAAATAAAATCTTAAAAAAAAAAAAAAAAGAGGGGGCGCCTGGGTGGCTCAGTCGGTTAAGCGACTGCCTTCGGCTCAGGTCATGATCCTGGAGTCCCGGGATCGAGTCCCGCATCGGGCTCCCTGCTCAGCGGGGAGTCTGCTTCTCCCTCTGACCCTCCCCCATCTCATGCTCTCCGTCTTTCATTCTCTCTCTCTCAAATAAATAAATAAAATCTTTAAAAAAAAAAAAAAATTCCTAAAACTCAACAGTAATTAAAAAAAAAAAAAAAACAGACTTGATTTCAAAATGGTCAAAGGACTTGAACAGACATATCTCCAAACACATACAACTGGCCAATAAGCACACAACAAGCTGCTCAACATTACTAATCATTCTGGAAGTACAAATCAGTAACACAATGAGATGCCACTCCATACCCATTAGATGGTCATTATTTTTTAAAAAAGGGCAAGAAAATGGAAAATAAGTGTTGGCAAGGATGCAGAGAAACTGGAACCCTTGTGCATTGCTGGTGAGAATGTAAAATGGTGCCGCTGCTGTGACATGGAAGTTTCTCAAAAAATGAAACACAGAATTACCGTATGATCCAATTCCACTTCTGGGTATATACCCACAGAACTGAAAGCAGGGACTCAGTTATTTGCACATCCACATTCACTGGAGCAGTATTTACAACCGCCAAAAGGTGGAAGAACCCAAGTATCTACCAACAGATGAATGGATAAACAAAATGTGATATAAATATAATGAAATATTATTCCACCTTCAAAAGGAAGGAACTTCTCAAGCAATGGAATTATTATTTAGCTTTACAAAGGAAGGAAATTCTGACACATGCTACCACACGTATGAATCTTGAAGACATTATGCTAAGTGAAATATGCCAGTAACAAAAGGACCAATACTGTATAATTCCAGTTATATGAAATACCTAGAGTGGTACAATTCACAGACAGAAAGCAGAATGGTGGTTACCAGGGGCCAAAGGAAGGGGGAATAGAGTCACTCTTTAAAAGGTATATTTTCAGTTTTGGAAGATGAAAAAGGTCTGGAAATGAATGGTGGTGATGGTTCCACGACAGTATGAACGTTCCTATTGACACTAAACTGTGTACTTAATGGTTAAAATGGTAAAATTTGTTATGCATATTTTGCAAATGAATCAGAGATAACATGAAAAGTCCTGGATAGTGCCAGAAAAATGATTAACTCTGTTAAACAAAGGCCAATTCACTCAATCATGTCTAAAACTTAATAGCTGTGTGAAAACCTGGATAAAGAACACATAAACCTCACACTTCCTCTGGCCTGGCGAGGAAAAGTTCTCAGCAAGATGACTGACTTGAAAAGTGAATGGTAGGAAAACAGTAGGCCAAAATTTGCTGAGTGGTTTGAAGAAAAGCTACAAAAATTAGCCTAGACATTTCATTACATAAACCGATTGAAGAAATCTCTGTAAGACCCTGTAAAAAACATTTAATTTCCAGTGACAAGATTCTTGGATTTTGAAGAAAACTGAATCTTCGGAAAAATCATATTGCAAAAAAAATCTTAGAAGTTCACACTTTTGCTTGGGCTTGACAGTGAGAAAAGTTATTTGCAAGTCTCCAGACCTACTGAAAGCCATCTGGAAAAAAATGTAGAAAATTAGACAGTATTTTTCTTCCCTTTGAACACAGAGTACGACCAGGTTAAAAAAAACAAAAAAACCCAAAAACCCTGTTTCTCAGAATCTTCTGCTCAGCCACAGAACCTGACTCTGAAAAGAGCTTTGTAATGTACAGTCTGATCATACTCTAGGGATGAGATTTACTGATCTGCCTTTAGAATAGCTGCAGATTTCTGCAAAAGAAGACAGTCCAGTCATTCACAGAAAAGCAATGAACATTTTGCCACGGATTTCAACCTTTTATATGCGTAAGTAAGCCTCTTCTTATTTAACAAGATGAAGAGCAAGGGTAGAAGGTGTCCATTTTCAGTGGAAAACGAAATCCATGAGAACTTATCTCAAATCCAACCCAGAACTGAGTATTTGTACAGGAAAAAAAAAAGACAAAAAAGACAAAAACAAACATAGCTTTTGCCTTCCCAAAGTATATTTCATTCTTCACTTTTACTTCAAAAATGACATTTTAATGCATATACAGAACTACTAAAGAACTAAACATGTTTGTATAATTTTATAAATGCTGAACCTACACTGGAGTATGATACCATACATAAGTTTATTTTCTAAAATCTAGTATAAAATTGTGTCTATAGCCTGTATTTTTATTCATATTGTTTCAGCCTACTTACAGAAAAATCAAACCCACTTTAAGTTTAAGCCAGCTATTAAACAGAAAAGTATTATGCTTGCCCTATAAGTTTCTTAAACGTATGAAAAGGAAAGAGGTAATTTCAAATTTAATGATCTCCACTCCCAAGAAAGGTTGGTTAAAAAGTCATTTTTAGTTTTAAAAAGGAGAAAAGAATACTTTGTACATGCCAAAGACTATACATTGTTAGCATCCTATATAGTAAAAATTTGTGTCAAGACTTTTAGGCCTACTTGAGTAAGGAAAACAAAACAAAAGAAGAAAACATTTTAAAAAGAAAAAATGTTACATTTACTCAACTTCCACTAATTGGCATTAGAGTTGATTAACTATTAGGAGCAGGGGAAAACCACATAGAAAAGAGCAGCCTATCCTTTCTGAACAGGGAATCTGCTTCTCCCTCTGCCTGCCGCTCCCCTGCTTGGGCGCGCGCTCTCTCTCTGGCGAATAAATAAATATAATCTCTAAAAAAGAAAAAAGAAAAGAGCAGCCTAACAAATTGGTCAACATAAACAGATCCACAAAAAAAATACTATTCTCAAAAAAAAATAAAAAATACTACTCTCTACTTAAAAGAGCACTGGCAATGTTATTGCCTTACTGTATCTACAACTTTCTGAACACTCTAATGTATTGTGAGCTGTGCATGTTTTTATGCAGACTTGAAAATTATTTTATGGCTTTATTAATTATTAATAATTATCCTTAGAATAAATAGAGTTAAAGGTTTGAGAAAGACACCCTAATGTAAGAATGCATTGTCACCTGGGAGGTATAGGAAAAAAAAAAGCAAACCTAAAGATGACTGAGCCCCTACAAATTTACATGAAACACAGAGGATAGAGGCACATTTGAATTAATATCACAGGACACAATTAGCAAAAGCCAGACAGTGGGAAAATGGAAAAATGGCTCCATTTCTTTCTTTCCTTTTTTTTTTTTTAAAGATTTTATTTATTTAGGGCGCCTGGGTGGCTCAGTCGTTGGGCGTCTGCCTTCGGCTCAGGTCATGATCCTGGAGTCCCGGGATCGAGTCCCACATCAAGCTCCCTGCTCAGCAGGGGGTCTGCTTCTCCCTCTGCCCTCTTCCCTCTCGTGCTCTCTGTCTCTCATTCTCTCTCTCTCAAATAAATAAATAAAAAATCTTTAAAAAAAAAAAAGATTTTATTTATTTGTCAGAGAGAAAGAGCACAAGCAGGGGGTGTGGCAGGCAGAGGGAGAAGCAGGCGCCCCCTGAGCAAGGACCCCTTTGCGGGACTCGATCCCAGGACCTTGGGATCATGACCCAAGCTGAAGGCAGACGCCTAACCGACTGAGCTACCCAGGCGTCCCAAAATGGTTCCATTTCTTAAAATAATAACAATAAATCACTAGAGAAAAAAAAGGAGGTGGAAAAGGAATTTAGAGATTAAAAAACTTAAAAGAGACATGTCAACCAACTTTAAATGTATGGACCTTATTCTGATCCTGATTCAAATCACAAAAGGTAAAAGGAAAAAAAAGAGGTGAAGGGGATTAAGAGGTATAAACTCCCAGTGATAAAAAAAAGTCACAGGGATGAAAAGTACAGCACAGGGATATAGTCAATAATACTGTAATAACGCTGCATGCCAGCAGATGGTAACACATATCGTGGTGAGCATGGCATAATGTACAGAACTGTCCAATCACTATGTTGTACGCCTGAAACTAGTAAACGTCAACTACACTTCAATTTTAAAAATTACCTAATTAAATTAAATTTAAAAAGAAAACTACGACCATTTGATAATATTAAGGGATTACTATTGATTTTTTTCTAAGTGTGATGATGGTATGATAGTTATGTTTTTTAAAACAGTTCCTTATTTTTTGGAGCTATATAATGACATGTTTACAGATCAAATGAAATAACATTTGAGATCTGCTTCAAAAGAGTAAGGAAAGGGGAAAATGGGTAGAGATACAGATGAAACAAGGTTGGCTATGAGCTTATACCTATTAAAACTGGGTCATGAAGGTTCATCTTACCTGTCAACTTTTGTATATGTTTGTAATCTTCTGTAACAGAAATTGTTTTGAAAAATCACAAAATGAGTGAAAAGATAAATTCACAAAAAAGGAAAAAAAATTTACTAAATATAATCAAAGGACTAGTATCCAAGATAAATATCTATAAACAATCACAAATTATAATCTACAATTACAAAAGGACAGACCACCCAATTTTTACAAATGGGATGATTTAAACAGGGACTTCACAAAATAAATTCGAATGGAAAACAAGCTCAAGCTCCACCTCATGAGTAATTAGGCAAATACAAATTAGAACCTTAATGAGAAGGCATCCCACATCCACCAGATTTATAAACATTTAAAATGTCTGGCAATACCTGATGCTGGCAAAGACGTGGAGCAATTATAAATTCACCCACTCTTCTGGGGAGAGTGCAAATTGGTATACCCCCCTCAGAAAACTACTTTTGCATTACCTAACGTCAATGATGCACGTACCCTATGAACCAGCAATTCTACTCGTAGGTTTATACCCTGGAGCAATGCGTGCACAAAGGCACCAGAAGACATGTGCAAGAATGTTTATAGCACCACTGCTCCTAAAAGCTCCCAAAATGGCCAGGACAGATACACTCTTACATATTCACACAATGAAATTCTCCACAGCAATAAAATAAACTAACTACAGCTATATACACAACCTCAATAAATCTCAAACACAATCTTGAGGAAAAAAGCAAAATGAACAATACAGCCAGTACGATGCTAATTATACCATGTTCAAAAAGAGGCAAAAGTAAACTATATGGTATAAGGATACACACACAAATATTAAAACTATAAGGAAAAACAAGAAAATGATTTCCATGAAAGTATGAACTATGGGGGGGGGGCCTCTGGGAGAAAGGAAAGGAGCTAAGTGAGTGGAAGTTACAAGGGATTTCACTTTAAAACAATCAAACTCCACTTTTCTGTATGTACATTTCTCAGCTTTAAAAAATGTTAAAACTAGGGGCGCCTGGGTGGCTCAGTTGTTAAGCATCTGCCTTCGGCTCAGGTCATGATCCCAGGGTCCTGGGGTCGAGCCCCACATCGGGCTCCCTGCTCAGCAGAAGGCCTGCTTCTCCCTCTCCCATTCCCCCTGCTTGTGTTCCCTCTCTCTCTGTGTCCCTCTCTGTCAAATAAATAAATAAAATCTTTAAAAAAATAAAAAATAAAAAAATAAAATAAATAAAAAATGTTAAAACTACAAAAAATGTTTTTAAAGGAAAGCACCTTTTCTCACAAAACTACTTTAGGATTTGCTTCACCAAAATGAGGTTGTAAAGGAAAGAAGATGGCACAAAGTCTAACACATGATAGAGAAGCAAGATAAGAATCTCCTGGGATGATTTTAGAAGAAGCCTGATGAACAAATAGTTCAGATTAGAACAGGATTAAAGGCTATAGGAAGGTAGTCTCCAAGGAAAAAGGAAAAGAAAGAAAAGAAACGGAAAGAAAGAAAGAAAACGGACCACTGAGTGTTTTGAATACAGAGAATGATTTACGGAATACAGAGTTTGAACGGAAAGTGACAGGATAAGAAAACAACTGAAGGCACTTGTAAAAATCTGGGGAGAAGTTGTGAACACTCTCCACTGCTACAAGAACGGAAGCACTGAATAATGATTTGATTATAAAGATAATGTAACTAATTAAGAAGACATGCAGAGGGGAAGGACATGCAGGTATGGGGGCTTTCTCATAGAGCTAAATCTTCATCTTCCACTGCAGGAACTCCATACATATCTCATACTGAAAATTTAAGAAATAGGATAAACATATCATTTAGAAGTATAATGGTAAATACTGGAAGAAACAGCTACAAAAAGTTGAAAGTGTTTGCCTCAGGAGAGTAAGGACAGTAAGAACCAGTGCTGGTGAGGGCCACCGTGGATGAATGCCATTTTTCATAAGCCTTGTAGTACTACTCAAATTTACACTACACGTATGTATTAACTTTGATAAAATTAAAATTCAGTGGGGAACATTTGTTCCACAAACAATTCACATATTGAATACCTCCCCCAGTTTCAAACCCCTCCTGAAGATCATGTATTTACAGTTAACCTATTCAAATAATGGTAACAGATTGAAAGAAAAATAGCTCAACTTCCTAAACTCGTATGATCATCCTCATGTTTGGATTATAAAAACTTACAACTAAAGTATATGGCCTTTTCCTGTGAAAAGCACCTATAGTAAATCACAACATACATGCAAAATGTAATAAATTTATCATTAAGAGCAGTATAATCAATAAAATGGAGAAATTTTACCTTGTAAAAGTTTCCATATGACTTTCGAATATTGATCCACTTTTTAGCAAAAGGAGGATATTTGAGCCTGCTCAGCCGGCACTGAATGTTCAGGAACTTACTCATATCCCACGAACTTGTAAAATCAAAAACAGGGGTAGAAAAATGATAAAATAAATGCTCTACTGTTCTTACTAGTATTTTAAGTCATTCTAATTTGTTTATTTACATGTCACCTTTCTTTCTGATATTCACACATATCATCAAGGTTAGAAAATTAACCTACTTCCAAAATACTAATCCAAAAATAAACAACAAAGAAAAGTATAAGTCAGGTATATCGAATTTTTTTCATAAACAAATCTTACTAGGCTAATCATGATCACTTTCATGGTTCTGATTACTTGGGGCAGACCTCTATCTTGTTAATTATTTTTTCATAATCCTAAAATAACTCTGCTAAGCTTACTTTTAATGCCAGGTTTATTTTATTAGGAAGTTCTTTGAGGGTATGCTTAGAAACAAAATAAAAAACAAATGAACAAAATATTTGAAAGATGAAAGTAGTTGGTAGTAGGTGGTGAATTTGAATACAATTTGTTCTGTTACAGCATATGTTTCTACAACACTGATCAACTTATGTAATTAAGTAGGAAAATACTGATTGTATAGTATGGAAATCATGTTGGTTCATACACGGTTTTCCCCAGGGAAGGGAGTGATACAACAGTCACACAAATTATGACCTTCAGCAGGAAAGGAAAAAAGCTCTCAATTCAGCTGTAGTGCCAGTGGGAGTACTTTCAGGTGTATTTTTAAAAAAAATTAAAAACGAGTGCCTGTCCCCAGGATCCTACTGCCTCTGAGGCAACTTCCACTAACTCTGAGCTGCCTGCGTGAGCTGTCCAAACTTTCTGGAGGTATGAGCTATGTCCCAGAACGTGAGGTTTTTACAGAATCACACATACTGTGTTAGGACAGAAACACCTATATACTTGAGCAAGAACATTGCTCATTCATGTTTAAAATCAACAGATTTCTAAAGAGGTCCACCAACATTTTCCCAAATTTCTATTTTTAAATTATAACGTGACTACACTCAATGCTTTTTTCCTATGTAAGGGTCACTAAACCCTTTATGTAAGTGACATCTCAGTTTTAGCGTACAATCTGTTCCTAGTTTGAAAGAGAAGTTGATTAGGAGACTTCCTTCTTCAATCTTAATAGCATTAGGGTATAGGAGCTGCCTTGGCACAAGGCCTATAATCCTTGTTTCAATCCTTCTGATCTTCCCTCTAACCTTTCCATCTAACGAATGCTTTTGAGCACACATTCTGAGTTCAGACTACAGGAAGCATTAGGGAAAATGATCAAGTAGCAGAAGTCCTTACTTTGAAAGGACTTTTAATCTCCCTGCAAACAAATCTTACATAAATAAAGTTTAGATATCAGAATAGTCAGATGGCAGCACAAATGGTACATATATAAAGACTATGAGACGTCAAAAAAAAAAAAAAAAAGATCAGTGTGAGTTGTAGTATGTGGAGTAAAACAAAAGAAGGCTTTGAATAATAATAATAAAGCAGTAAAGGAAGAGAGCCTTCCAGTAGAGAGGAGAGCATGACTATGTGCACAGAGAAAGAACACACCAGGTGATTCATGGCCAACATGCACAGAGTGGACAAGAATGGCAGGTGGATCAGGCTACACAGGTGCGGTGGGTTAGATAAGAGAACCTTGAAAGCCAGACTGAAGAGTTTGGATTTCTCTGAGCAAGGAAGTATCACGATAAAAACTGACTTTAGTAAAGTCATTTTAGTTTTACATGTTAATATTTATCTTTCCCTAGTTCTCTAATTCTGGATTAAAGCATTATCATTCTTTCCCTCCTTATTTTTTGATCCTTAAGATGCAAAGCTTAAGTAGAACAAAACAAAACAAGTTTAAATAGAAATAAGAATGTGAAAGGAAAAATATGATCTCTTATAGGAGACCCCAGAACTATCAGAAAATACTTTTTTGTGGTTATTCTAAAAGTTAAATGGATATGAACATCTTTCATCTTAAAAAAGTAGATAAAAAAGATAATTTTCCTAAATACTCACCCATCTGTCAATATGCAATATTTATACTTTGTTCCTAATTCCTTCAATTTCATCCAGTCAATTACTTTTTTTAGTACCTGAGGGAAGGTATCAGCTCTGTCTACCTGATCCTGAGGATATAAAAGTAAAATTTATAAAAATAAGAGTAGCTACATGTAGTCCTGCAAATACCCAGACACAAAAGTCAAAACGAAACGAACAGTAAGAGAAAGTCTCATCTATGATATTTTAAACTCTACATGATTTCCTTAGCTGAGATCCACCTAACATTTCATTTTTAAGATAATTAAAAATTGTTCATAACCAGGCATTACGGACGCTTTCAACTGAAGTATATAATCCTCTCAAAATTAAGATTTATGATCATCCCCACTGTTTTTGTTTTTTTTTTTTAAGACCTCAACCCAGTGGCTTACTATTTATCCAGAGTGGAGAAGAGCGAACTCTCCTCCCAGCTGAAAGCCATGGCCCTCTAATGTGGTCTCCCTATCTCAAAGCTCAGATCTTTCCACAACAGACGACACACCACTGCCAGACTGATCTTCCTAAATTGATCCATCACATCACTTCCACACTTAAAATCCTCCAAACATTCCCCAAGGCTTTCAGGATAAGACACACAGGCTCTTCATGATGTGGCCTCCCTCCGCCTACCACTTTAGCTTTATTTTCAACCACTTTCTTACCAGCCCATACACACTTGAACTGTCCCAAACTACTCACAGTTCTGCTGTGCACACCTGAAATGCCCATTCTTTCCTTCCTATTGACCTATCATGATTCAGCCCAAGGTCACTAACTTGAAGAAGTCTGACACTGGCCAGCTCTCCATTCTCTCGTCGTAAGATGCCCATAATACCCAGATAAAACACTGACTTGTCAGTCTTCCTAACCATACTGTCACTACCGGTTTAGTCTGTCTGTCCTCCTGATTATAAGTTGTTGAGTGAGCTGAGGAGATTGACTTGACCATCTCTGTATCCCCAGTACCCTGGCAAATACTGTAGTAGGCACTCAAATACTCGTTGAGTGAATGAGTAAATGAATAAAGGAACCAAATTAATGAACAAAGAGCAATTAGAATACAATAAAAAATCAGAGATCTAAAAAAACATTAAGCTATGTTCAAGTCAGGTTATAAACAGATACATTTCAATCTTCCTCTAAGTCCACCATGGTAACACTTACTTTACTAATGATCTAAACAAATTAAACCTTTGGTTTCATCATTACAAGTCCTTAAGAGGAAAGGCTGAGAAAAATTTTACCAGGTATAAAATTTGCTTTTCTACTTTTTTAATATTATAATATGAAAAATCTTTACCAAGTAAAGTACATTAACTTGTTTACAATAATAATTTTTTAAACTATAAAATAAAACCTAATTTCAGAACCTCTTTCAAACTCCAGAAAAAGGAATATAGATTTAGAACCTGAGTAATTCCAGTTAGGTTGATGCAGAAATCAGAAAGTTGTGTGTTAATCTCTGGTCTCACATACTGCTGGAATGTATCTTCCTACAAGTGAAAGAGAGCAAGTTAAAGTATTTTCTATGACTTCAGATATTAGGACACAAAATACATAAAACATTAAGCCACAGGAGACTTTAATTTTATAGGTGCTCATGGTATAGCCCTTTCTAGAATTTTAACAATTTAAAGATAATTCTCCACTCCCAAAGCACTCTAATTTTAATTATGTTTCATAGTTTAAAAAATTTTAAAGAGTGGCACCTGGCTGGCTCAGTCAGTCAAGCGTCCAACTCTTGGTTTCAGCTCAGGCTGTGATCTCATGGGTCATGAGATCCAGCCCCAAGTGGGCTCCCCACTCAGTGGGGAGTTGGCTTGAGATTCTCTCCCTCTGTCCTTCCCCTGACTCATGCTCTCTAATAAATAAATATATCTTCAAAAAAAAAAAATTTTAAGATGGGGTGCCTGGGTGGCTCAGTTGTTAAGCAACTGACTCGTGATTTTGACTCAGGTCATGATTTCATGGGTCATGGGACTGAGCCCCCGTCGGGCTCCGCGTTGAACATGGAGCCTGTTGGAGAATTCTCTCCCTTTGCCCCACCACCCCCCCGCCACTTGCGTGTACACACAGGAGTGCACTCTCTCTCTCTAAAATAAGTAAATAAATCTCAAAAAAAATTTTTTTAAGATAAAGCAAGTATCTGAAAGCAAGCCTTCAAACCAAAGGTTATTTTCTTGAGGAGCAAAATGTTGATAATTTTGTTTGTAATATTTGAAACGTAAAGCTTAATAATGCAACCTCAACTTCAAGTTACTAACAGTTTTTTAAATAATAATAAATTCTTTGAAGAAATGCCAATCTTTGGTTATAATAAACTAGCTCTAGATTACTACTCTCTCATTTACTCTTAACTAGTCCTTATTTTTATACTGATTCCAGTAAACTGAATTCTGAACAGTCAAAACTGAACTACATGAACTACATGCAGTAGTTTAAAGGGAGATAATACTATATTTTGGTAGCAATTTTAACCTCTTCAAGAAGCTTTCACACTTGCCTTCTCATAATCACGACAACTGTTATCATCAAACCTCAGATCTCAAAGTGCTTTTTCCTCTATCCTAATAATGCCTCCCTAAACTAGAACATGCTAAGTCACTTGTTAAAACTTAAGGACAATTTCAAAGCCTAAAGTCAGCAATCATTAATACCAGGTAGATACAGAGAAAAAGACAAAGAATATTTTTTGTGACAGAAGATTCAAAAATTAAGAAAGGTAAATGTTTCATTTCCTAAGAATAAATTCTTTCTTCACACTAGTGTATGAAGCCAATGAGTTATAAAGGTTACTATTATAAAAGAGCAAAATTAAAAGAACAGCAAAGAATGTTTGAACTTCAAAAGTTAGATGCTCTTTATACCAGACACACTGAAGAAGGAAAAATTCCACTAAATTGAATTTCACAGATAAATGAAGGCTTTATCTTTTTAAGTATCAATATTTTTATAATTTTCAATGAAAATCTTTCTCTTTTTTTTTTAAGATTTTATTTATTTGACAGAGAGAGAGAGACAGCGAGAGCAGGAACAGAAGCAGGGTGAGTGGGAGAGGGAGAAGCAGGTTTCCCGGCGAGAAGGGAGCCCGATGCAGGGCTCGATCCCAGGACCCTGAGATCATGACCTGAGCCGAAGGCAGATGCTTAACGACTGAGACACCCAGGCACCCCGAAAATCTTTCAAAAATAAGCTGCAACTTCCCTTACCAATACAGGCAGGTAATATCAAACATACTATTAATAAAACTTTATTCACTATTTAACACGTTTATCAGAATGATGCTATAGAGAATAACTATGCACTTGTTGACCAAATATTTAGTAATCACTTAAGTAAATTACATAGTAAGCTAACAGGTGATAAGGGTTAGTAAACATTTAAGTAGACCAGGTAAGTGGGATCAGAAAAATGGGGGGGGACTCAGCTACCATAGTAAATAGGTCATCACCTTTATGCAGAAGATGAGAACTAAGGAAGGCCTGGAAGGAAGAGAGGCAGGGAGGAATTAGCAGCAAGACCTCTGAAGGAAAGGAATTAGAACTAAAGCCCTGGAAGGTGAGGGGGTAGAACATGCCTGGCGTTTCTAAGAAACAGCAAGCAGGTCAATAAGGCATAATCAGAGGTAATAAGAGGCTAGCTCATGTTAAGGAATTTTACTGAGTTAAATGGGGAACCACTAAAGGGTTTTAAGCAGAGAAGGAAAATGATTTGACTTATATTTTATAAGGCTCACTCTGACCACTATGTTGAGAATTGGCTGTAGGAGACAAGGAAGGAAACAGAGACCGGTTAATGGTGAATGCAGTAAATCCAGACAAGAAATTATGGGGCTCAGACTAGAGTCGTAGCACTGCAAGTAAGTGGCTGGGTTCTGGATGTATTCTGAAGGCAGAGCAAACAGGAGTTGCTGTTGGTCTGGATATATGATAGGAGAGAAACAGGAGTCAAGGATGACTCCAAGGTTTTGAACTGAGTAATTAGAAAGACAGAGTTGCCATCACTCAAGCTAGGGAAGACTGAACATACAATGGGTTGAGGATAAATTCAGTTTGGGACATGTTAAGAGGTCTGTTTAAATATCCAAGTAGAGACGTTAAATAAGCAGACTGGATTTGGTATAGAGGTCCAGGTTGGAAATATAGATTTGGAAGTCATTAGCATACAGTTTCTAAAAGCTTGGAAGTAGATGAGATTAAGAGATCTATATAGAGAAGAGGACCTAGGAATGAACCCTGGGGCATCCAGTATTAAGAGTTGTGAAGAAAAGGAACCAGCAAAGGAAATTATAAAGGGGAACCCAATGACGATGGAGACAAATCGAGAGAATGAGGTGTACTGATAGTCACTTGCAAAAAATGTTTCAAGGAGAGAGTGGTCTTTTATACCAGGATTTAGGTAAAGGTCCAAGATGACACTAATGAGTGATTTTAGTGGAGTGATGGGATTGCAGACAGTGTGAATTTAAGAGAGAATTCGAGGAAACAGCAGTATGTACCTTTTTCAAAGAACAAACAAATAGGGTAGTTGGCGGGGAAGTGGGACAGAGTGAAAGCTTTATATGTATGAAAAGTAACATGTCTGTATGTGATGGGAACAACACAGTGAAAGCAGTAAATCATTACTGTCTCAACAAGGGAAAAGAATTGCTAGAGCAATGTCCTTGAATAAGAAAGAGAAAGTAGAATCTAGTGAGTTATGCAAGATTATTACCTTCATAGCTGTCATTTTTCCTTTTAATTTACTGACTATAATCTTCTTTGGACAAAGAAATTATATAAATAGTGTGATTATAACTAAGAGGCTCTGAACAACACTAAGAAAAAAATCTATGCATTTTAATACACAAGGCTTTTTATACTTGCTCCCAATGTGTTGGCAGCAACTGAGGATAGCACAGAAGTAACTTCTGGATAGATGAGATGTTGATATACCCTTGCTCAGATTTTACAAGGCAAACAGTACTATTTGGAGAATTCCTGCTAAGTTCCTGAACTAATGATGCAGTGACAGCAAGTATCTAAAGCATATACATTATAGGTCTCGAAGCCAAGGTTAGGAGTGTCATTTCCGCACTAAACTTTTCACCAGAAAGATGGCCAGTTCTAAGCTGAAAGGCGATTTCTGTAATTTGCCATTTTTAGAGATCACAACATATAGTAGTCTACAGCAGTGGTTCTCAACCCCCAACTGCATGTCAACTGAGAAGCTTTAAAAACATGCTGATGTCAGGGGCTCCACCACAGAACAACTAAATCAGAATCTCTGGGATGTGGGCCAGGCATTTTTCCACCCTCCCTAGGAGATTCTGATGTCCAGCCAGATATGTGTTCCAAGCAAACAGAAAAAAAAAAAAAAAAAACACCAAAAAACAAAACCCTCTAATTTTAGCTGTTGGAAAAGGAGAGAAGTAGCCTCTGAAATTATTTCATTACAGCTTTTCTATTAATCAAGCTGATACAAAGTACACAAGAGAAAACAGCCCACTTCAGAGTTCTCATTCTAGCTTTAAAACAGCAAATGAGATCCCTGGTCTACTGAGAACACCAGAATAGTTGCTGCTAAAAATAAAATTGAAATACAACAACTTACTTACTATTTCTAAGGTATGGGTATTCAGTAAAACCACAGGAAATTCAATTATCTCATGTATAAATTCAGGTGGGTTACCCTCTTCACAAGTGGCTTCGAAATCAATGACACAAATGTAGTCGTAGTAACTGTCAGCAAAACTGCCCTCTTTCAACATGAGCTTCTGCTTCTTGTAATAGTTTTTCAGCCTTTTCTTTAGCACATCCTTTACTCCTCTAAGGAAAGAAGAAGAAAATGAACTCTGAGGTGAATTCTACAACCAAGAATCTGAAGTCTTACCTGCTGGCACTGGGTTGAACACTGGCAGTCGCAGTATAATTTAGCAAATATTAGCTAAAATAAATGTAAAGAAAACAAGACTTAAAGCTAAGTTAGCAAAGAATTAAAATCAAATGTCACACAGCATCAATATTTTCCTTCCCAAGCACATAAGGGCGTTTCTCCTATACTAGTATTTCAAACCATAAGCCTTGTTAGCATGTACCACCTACAAAGCCATACTGCCTTATATACCAAGGTGATATATGTATTACAAAAACTGAAATTAATGTTGAACTCTTCTACAGGCCAAACACAAATTTCAGAGTATGAAAATTTAGATAAATGGCACATTTATGCTGTCTCTTTCCTTTCTTTTGGTTTTTATAGGTTAAACAACTACAATATCCATATGAGTACGAAAGTGCTATGAGCCTAGCATGTAAAGTTGAATGTCTATTAGCTACTTAACTAGGAAAACTCATTTAGAAGATATCCTAGTGTAAACCATGTCCAGAAGAACACTGTCATACTCAGTAGGTTCTTAATTGGAAGTAGGTTTCTTCATTTACCATGGGTAGAATCTAATTAAGGAGATTATAGGTATTTTCAAAATATATGTTCCACAAATGGTGGGTGGAAAAAGGGTTGTTCTAAAATAGATAACAATGGGGGTGCCTGGGTGGCTCAGTCGTTAAGCGTCTGCCTTCGGCTCAGGTCATGATCCCAGGGTCCTGGGATCGAGCCCCGCATCGGGCTCCCTGCTCTGCAGGGAGCCTTCTTCTCTCTCTCCCACTCCCCCTTCTGTGTTCCCTCTCTCACTGTGTCTCTCTTTGTCAAATAAATAAATAAAAATCTTTAAAAAATAAAAATAAAATAAAATAGATAACAACGGTTGGTAATGGTGGTCACATTCTTCAAACTGTAAATACTTCTAAAAATTTTTTAAAAGTCCTGACCAGCGCTGACTTCCTTCAGGTTACTTGTATGAGTCCTATTAACAGTTTATAAATACAAAATGGCAGTAAAAATAAGAGGATCTAAATTGTAATTAGTGTGTAGTAACAACTCAGGTATTTTGGTCAGTGACTATTAAAAAAAATTTTTAACCTTTTATTTTCCTTTCTAAACTACCAATGAAAAGAAATCCTATTCATGAGAATATTAAAATGAGTGGTTTTAAGACAAAATGTTTTAATATGTTTATTTGCTTGAGATTTTCTAAGTTACCAAAATCTAAGAAGGAAATCCCTTATCCCCTTCATATTAAGGTACTGTGAGTGACCTCTGTGTCATGGGACAGCTCTGATTCCTTTGTCTTAATTTCTCTTTCTTTCTTGGAGAAACTATGCTTACTTAAAGGGGTGCCTGCAAACCTAGTGGCAACAGGAACAATAACCAGGTGCTCCAGAGAGAGACCTGTCATCTTTAACGTCTTCTTTGCCATCCACATCCAAATCACCACCACATTTGCCAATTCTAACTCAGAAACAGATTCAGAATCTGGTTCTCCTGAACTGTCTCTGGTATGGCTCCCATGAGCTCCTCGGACTCTCGCAAATGCCTCTAATGCCACAACCCTCCTTTTCATCCTTTACCCCACTTGAGAACTACCCACCAATGCCAACTTCCTGCTAAAATACCTGCAGTGACTCCCTTATGCTTATACGTTAAACAGACTTCAGCATACAGTTCCTTCACAACTTGGCTACGACCTATCATTTCAGTATCATCTTCAGATGCTCCCACTGCCCATGGTACATCGAACACTGCAGGGAAAACACTATATGAGCCACTGCCTAATATGTGATACGCTTTCTTGTTTTGTAACTTTGGTTGTACAACAGCTGATGAGAAAGCAAGATTATTTAAGAGAAAACATACCTACAGAAATTAGTTTTGAGTTCTTTCTGTCTCAATTACTCTCCGTCCCTTTTCTCTTTGGCTTGTCAATTCAATCATCACTCCTGAACTCCTAAGCCAGACTCTCTTCTTTATTTGCATGCTGTGCTTGGCCAGACCTCCAACACATCACTGGTCACACTGTATTGTGATTGTCCGTATATATTCCCAAAATACTGGCTGCTTTCCAAAGTGGGGAATATACATGTCTATCTTACTTGTGTAACTTTAATGCCCAGTGTAGTGCTTAGAAATCAGTAAGTGCTTACTGAATAAATGTGCAAGCATATAATTAGATCTCTAACTGCCATGCAAGTCTCCAGTAAGCAACTGATCTTCACTCCTGGGAAGGACAAAAATTTTGCTCAGAAAATCTTCACAGGGGGCGCCTGGGTGGCTCAGTCGTTAAGCGTCTGCCTTTGGCTCAGGTCATGATCCCAGGGTCCTGGGATCGAGTCCTGCATCGGGCTCCCTGCTCAGTGGGGAGCCTGCTTCTCCCTCTCCCACTCCCCCTGCTTGTGTTCCTGCTCTTGCTATCTCTCTCTGTGAAATAAATAAAATAAAATCTTTAAAAAAAAAAGAAAAGAAAAGAAAAGAAAATCTTCACAGGTTGTATCTTCATAATAGAGTCAGGAGGGGGCGCCTGAGTGGCTCAGTCGGTTAAGCGTCTGCCTTGGGCTCAGGTCATGATCCCAGGGTCCTGGGATCGAGTCCCACATTGGGCTCCCTGCTCAGCGGGAAGCCTGCTTCTCTCTCTCTCCCACTCCCCCTGCTTGTGTTCCCTCTCTCACTGTGTCTCTGTCAAAAAAATAAATAAAATCTTTAAAAAAAAAAAAAAACAGAGTCAGGAGGAAATGAGGTAAAATTTTTTGTCACAAGTTATCATGCAGACAATCTAAAAGGGAAAAAAGTACATGTATGCTCTTTTGAAAGCAGTGAAACTCTATTTTAAAGCAAAGAGAAGGAATTTTGCCTAAAGAGAAAAAGGATACAGGGGGACCCAGAAACAATAACAGTTTTCATCTATTGCATGCAGTCAATTTTTTTCTTAATGCCTGGCAATTGAACTGTCCATCAAAAATATGCATGCTTGGGGCGCCTGGGTGGCTCAGTTGGTTAAGCCACTGCCTTTGGCTCAGGTCATGATCCTGGAGTCCTGGGATCGAGTCGGGCTCCCTGCTCAGCGGGGGTTCTGCTTCTCCCTCTGACCCTCCCCCTTCTCATGCTCTCTCTCTCTCTCTCTCTCATTCTCTCTCTCAAATAAATAAATAAAATCTTTGAAAAAAAAATATGCATGCTTTTCTGGATTGAAAGGTCATTCTTACCCCATGCCCCAAGTCGAAATAAAGTGATTTGTTTTGCAAAAAATTACTAAAAACTGAGTATGTATACATCTCATTGAAGACAGACACACACACACACAGAGTTGCCTAAGCTGCATTGTTTTCTCATTCAATATACAGTTAAACATCACACATACTATCATTCTGCATACCTTTAGAAACTAAAACCGAAAAAAATATTTCCTGGTAGGTGATTTTTTTAAATTACCTGGTTTCAAAGAAACCCTCTTTATAAAAATAACACAGAATAATATATATCTCCAATCTCATTAATAAGATATAATTAAGCATCAACTAAATGATCAACTAAAAAAATTTAAAACATATTTAGTATAAGATAGCTGCTCCTATACATTGTTGGTAGCTTGTCAAAACATTCAGACTTCAACTCAGCAATCTTAGTTTATCATCTAAGAGACTCTCAGAAATAATCAGAGTTGCACATATTCACTTTAAGAATGTAAATTATAGCTTTTATCTGAGTATATGGTAGGATTACAGACGACTGTTAATTTTTCAGTGTTTTCAAGACTTTCTGGGATGAACGTGTACTACTTTTAAATTTTTAAAAAGTTATTTTTATTTACCTGGTTTCAAGCTTGAATTCTGAAAGTTTAGCTCTGAGTTCTTCCTTACTCATTCTATTAATGCATCCGTTTGTAATAGCAATCTCTTTGTAAACTGGGTCACTGAAATCACTTGCACTGGAGGTAATGAACTTAGATCCTTTTGTTTCTTGGCCATCGAATCTACATCGTTGCTTTTTCTACCAAAAAAAGATATAGCTTATAATTAATACAAACATCTTAAAGATTCAAACTCCTGAGGCCTACTCATGCTACATGTTCAGTGAAAAGTACATAGAAAGAAGAAAGACGTGTTTCCAATATAATTTACCCTGCTGTTCTGAGTCATGAAATTTCTTAAAGGAAATGAAGCTAAGTAAAAATTGTACTGGTGTTGGGAGCACTTCAAAACAGAGCCCCTGCTGACCATTTACTAGCAGCATGACCTTGGATAGTTACTTATTAATGCCTCTGATCTTCAGTTTCCTTATCTATAAAATAAAGAATAATAACTGTTCCAAGTGGCATTTAGTATTTGGTAATGGTAAATAGTATTTAAACAAGGTTATTATAGGGGTGCCTGCGTGGCTCAGTTGGCTAAGCATCTGGCTTCAGCTCAGGTCATGATCTCAGGGTCCTGGGATGCAGCCCTGTGTCCTGCTCCCTGCTCAGTGGGGAGTCTGCTTGTCCCTCTCACTCTGCCCCACCCCTGCACACTCAAGCTCTCTTTCTCTATAATAAATAAAATCTTAAAAAAAGTTTTTTTAAATAAACAGGTTATTTTAAGGATTAAATGAGATTATGTGTATCCGCTCCCAACACCATACCCCACTGTGGCAATTAATGGGATCTTTATTACCATCATAGACTATAGAACCAACCTTTTCACAAATGACATTCTGAAATTTACAAACTCATTTTTAAATGACCTTTTACAACATTATGCATGTAAAAGTCAGTGACTTCCTGAGAATTTTTTTTTTTAAGATTTTATTTATTTGAGAGAGAGAGAGAAATCGCAAGCATGTGTGAGAAGGGTAGGGGTAGAAAGAGAGAGAATCTCAGGCAAAGTCCCCGCAGAGCACAGAGCCTGACTTGGGGCTTGATCCCATGACCATGAGATCACGACCTGAGCCAAAATCAAGAGTCGGACACTTGACCGACTGAGCCACATAGGTGTCCCCTGAGAATTTTTTAACCTGACTTCATTTCACTAAGTTAACAGAAACTGCCCAATATAAAAACAAAATGGACTACTAGATAGAAATCTAGTTCAAAACTTCCTAGAACCCAAAGCAAAGGAAATGTATTCAGTTTTAAAACACACAATTTCTAAAACTCACATTTGTAACAATTATTCAGAAGAACTACAGTTACTGTATTATAAATCTTTATTCTTTCCTTAAAATCTATGTTGAGAAAAAACATGACTCAACTGTAATCAGTCCACAGGTAGTCCAAAATTATTAATATGCTAAATATCAGAGTTCCATTTATAAGTTAATTATTTTCCAAATGCAATGTCACAAACATTAGGTATGTTCCAGAATTTTCTTTTCTTTTTAAGATTTATTTATTTATTTATTTATTTATTTGACAGAGAGAGAGAGACAGCGAGAGAGGGAATACAAGCCTGGGGAGTGGGAGAGGGAGAAGCAGGTTTCCCACCGAGCAGGGAGCCTGATGCAGGGCCCAATCCCAGGACCCTGCAATCATGACCTGAGCCGAAGTGCAGGCGCTTAACGACTGAGCCACCCAGGCGCCCCATTCCAGAATTTTCAAAAAGACTTTGGAACTTACCATCAATCCACATTAAAATTTGTTAACTTAAGTCATAATTTACCACACTGTCCCCATGTGAACTTTAATGACAGATTAAGAAGGAATAACCATGGACAGGCCAAAGTCCCTGACTTTACACTAATCCTAATGGTTCAGCAACTGTTTCTCATTCAAAGCTCAATTTAATACAACACACATTTACTAGAAATGCAATGCTAGGTATTGTGCTAGAGTACTCAAGAATTACTCCTATCTCCTCAGAGGAAGAGATCAGCAATCCCAATGTGTGAACTGTCCATAAACTGAAGAGTAACTGTATTATAAAGATCCTTGCTGACAAATGTTTTAAAAAGTTTATTACGCTGATCTTTGACTAAAGCTAAGGAAATAACTACCTTTCAATAATACTTTCAATTTATAATGCCTTAAAAAGAAAAACCATCCACCATAAAAAATAATGAAGCCAGGGGCTCTGAGAGCAAAAGGGAAGAATAGTGTAAGGTGAATTCAGCAATGGAGGCAGGAGCCAGGTCCTGCAGGACGGCAAACTGAAGACTAGGAAGGGGAGAAACCCAGTCAGGTTTATGTTATTAAGATTATTCTAGCTGCTATGTGGAGCCCTAACTGTAGATGCAAGAACAAGAGCAAGGTACCCATTCTATGAAGTGCTCAGAATACGTTACTGAAATGAAATGATCAATTTTTACAATCTGCAGCGCTAGGCAACAATAATTTGTATCTGCCAAATAAAATGAATAAATAAGTTTTAAGACCGTCTTCACAATTTTGCTCTGTGACTCGGATCTACCAATAGGTGTCAAAATCATTACGGAAAATAAGTCATACGATAGGTCTGTATGAAATAGTAGCAAATGGGCAAAAAGCTCCAACTAACAGGCACAACCACCTTCTGTTAAGGCTGGGAGGTAATGGGCTTCGGGTCTTAAGAAATGACATACCTAGAGCATAATGGTGCGCTTTTTAAAACATAACCTACCAATCACCTATAAGGGCTAGACAGAATGACTAGAGCAACAGTGTGCACAGAATATTTGGAGCAGAATTCCCACCAGAACTTGTAAAACCACAGTTCACACACTTCTCTTCTTGACTATTTCCTCACATCCAGAGGGTAATTAGGGCGAGAGGGGGCTGCGTGACAACCAAGGCACCGGAGCTGGGGACAGGGGAAGCGGCCGGGGCTGGGGTCCAGGGGCACGCAGGCTGAGGTTTGTGCGGAACACCCTAAGAGACAGGTCTGGAAGGGCTGGGCACCGACGGCCGGGCGCGGGCGGACTCACCTCGGGATTCGGATGCTGCGGCTCCTCCCCACACTCCGACCCGGGAGACTCCAGCCGCGCGGCAGCCACGGCCTCGCTGCCAGGCTGTTCGCTCCGCTCGTGCTCCATGCCGGCTGCCACGTAAGAAGACAGTTGCTGGAGCCCGACCCTCGCTCACTCTCACTCGGCCAAGACCGAAAGCCTCGCCTTTCTCCGTTGAAAAATTACCGGGCTCGCGTTCCCGCGGCGGCGGCCACACAAACTCGAGCGGACACCTCCCACTTCCGGGAGCGTGTGGCGTCCACACGCCGCGCAGGCGCAGTGAGCGGGCGCGGGCGGAACGCTATCGCGTCTGGCGACCCCGGAGGGAGGAAGGAGGTGAGGAAGGCGCGCGCGGGAGAAGATGGGTGTTGGCGTCTCCGCGCGGTGAGCGCGCGAGCGTCCTGTTGCCCTTACGCAAGGGTCTAGCCTCGTCCCTGGAAGATACCACCAGAGCACACGATCTCATCACCATATTTTCTAAGGAGAAAAACGAGGCGTACCGTGGAGAGAGGTGAACTTCAACCGTGACGAATAACATCTGTAAAACAGTCTGCATTTTCCATGAGGAGTTTAACGTCTGCTTCTGGAGGAAAGAAAATGGGACTGGACTTACTAAAAACTAAGCAAAATACATGAAGACAGCTGTTTTCAGACATTGGGCTACAGGCAGTTCTGGACTGTTGGGCCTGAAAGAGAACAAGCAAACAAGATGAGCCTTACATGGCTTTCTGCCCAAAGTCACTTTCCAGTTTGAGGTGCAGGGAAGGGGAACTCCGAAAGAGACCTAGAGTTTCACTAGGAAGACAGAGGTCTTACTGAGTTGAAAAGACATGGCGTGGAGTTTAGGGAATTTGGGGAGGCCAAGCTGGTCGGAATTTATGAGTTGGAGTTCATGGAGAAAGAGCTTCAGGATCTACGTAGGAATACCCTTGAATCTTTAGCTGAATGAAAATCCGTGGACAGGTCACGTGAAATTCCACAAGGCCCAGAAGGAGCAATTATGAGGAGCAGTGAGCCAAGCAATTCTCAAAGCTCACACAGGACTAGGACTCGTTCGAGTTCCCCACAGCCAGGGTGGAGAAACTGGAATATGCGGAATATGCTATAGAGACCCCAGAAGTGTCATGCCTTAGTTGTGAGGTAAACTAGCCTTAGACTCTGGAGTCTAGAGTAAAAGCTGTTGTAGACCCTTCAAGACCTTAAAGCCCCCAAAGGATCGAACTGGTCAGTAACTCACCTGACTGCCTACCAGAACAAGAGACTACAACAAAACTCAGGACTCAACAACATCAAGTTGAAAATACCAGGCATCCACCAGTTAAAAATGAATAGACATGCCAAGTAAGTAGGAAAATATATCAAAATAGATCAGACAGGCAACAGAGACATATTCAGAGATGACACAAATGGTGGCATTAACAGGCAAAGACTTTAAGCATCTACTCTAAATGTACTCAATATGCTCAATGATTTAAAGGGGGAAAATGATGGGCGAGGAAAGAGATTTTTTCTTTAAAGCAAATAGAATTTCTGGAGATGAAAATTATATTATCTGAAATTTTAAGCTTCTGTGACCTTTGGGACAATATAAAAAAAATTTTTTTTTGTAAGAGGACTTCAGCTGCCTCCATTTTGACCTCAAACTTTCTAATTAAGTTCTTCTTTCCTGCTTATCTCTTAACTTTGGCAGAAAACCCTGAGGGCAAATTATTCCCTGGTGGGAACTGAAACTACCCCCTCAAGCAATAAGGACTGCCTTGAGCCAGCAAGACCCCACCCATGATTGACCCGAGACTACGGTTGACTTGACTTTCGTTGCCCACCTGTGTATACTCACCCACCTTTGTCCCACATTTTCCCTACATAAACCTAGAAGTATTTTCAGCACTTTGAAGCATCTTTGAGATGCTAGTCCACTATCTTCCCAGTGTTGGCCTCACTGAAATAAATTTCCTTCTTGTTTTACCACCACTAGTTTCTCTGCCTTTGGATTTTGTCAGTGGTGAGTGGCCTGACCTGGTCTCTTTGGGACTACCCCTTAGAGCCAGGTGCTGATAAATATAAAGAATACACCAGGCCACATCATAATCACACTGGTAAAAACAGTAATAAAGAGAAAATACTTAAAAGCAGCTAGAGGGAAAAAGGCATAGAGCATAATAAGAATTTTTATAAACTTCTCATTAGAAACTGCAAACCAAAAGTAATGAAATGGTAACTTTAAAGTGCAAAAACAAAACCAACCAAACTTTTTCTGACAAGCCAGGAAAGCCACATCCTGAAGTAGTCATCCCAGCTGACTTGCAGACCTGTGAGGAAGAAAAACAAATGCTTTTTGTAAGCCACTGGGGTGGTTTGTTATTAAGCATTATTATAAAAATAGTTAAAGTACAGGATCATTTCAAGTCACATGGCCTTGGGTGAAGACAAAATTCCCTAACAGAGAAAGGGACACAATTGGAAGTCTACCAGAAATGTTTTACTTCTGATATCACTGGCTTCCTCCATAGTGGACTGTATGTTTTCCCTCATAACTATAGATTTACCTTTGTGTTTACAAGCTGAGGTTTATAGACTCAGAAACTATAAAGATTTCTAAGATACAACTGAACCAATACTCTCTTTTTGCCAGATTTAGTCATTTTCTCTTTAGATTATGACTTTGAGTCCTGACACACAACTGCAGAAATTGATGAAAATTACTAATCCCATCTCTCTGTCACCTAGAAAATGCTTTTTCTCTCAAAGGAGAAGAAAATGATCTAGTAAACACATGTCAGGATCCACATTACATTAACATTAATAAGCACTAGTTAACTGTTCCACTTGAACTTTTTGGTATATCACTGTCAACTGTTAAGTAAAGAAGATTCACCATCAAGGAGTAATAATTTATCTACATTGCAAATTAGGTGCTTATACCTTAAAAAAATTGCCTGTATGTATGGGAAGAGGATACAATAACCATTCATTTATTCAACAAATATTTATTGAGAACCTTTTATATGCTAGGAATGAGCATTGAACAAAATAACAAAAACTCTTTGCCCTAGTGGAGTTTACATTCAAGAAGTGGAATTAGACAATAAACAAAAGAAATGAGTACAATGTTTACACTATGGAGAAAAATTAAGCAGGTAAGTGGAATGGGGGGTGTCCTTGGGGTGGGGGGCAGGAGGTGGTTGCAATTTTAAATAGAGTGGTTATGGGAGGTTTCTCTGATGATGTACTATTTGAGCAAAGACCTGAAGAAGGTGAGGAGTGACGGAGTGAACTGTGAGGATATCGAGTAAGAGAATTTCAGGCAGAACAAGTAACAAGAGGCCTGAGCTGAGAATGTGCCTGGAATGATCAAGAAATATCACAGTGTCCCATACTTTTCTTTGATTGTATGATATCCACATGTAGGAGACACAGATGTTTTATTTTTTTTTTTAAAGATTTTATTTATTCATGAGAGACAGAGAGAGAGGTAGAGGGAGAAGCAGGCTCTCCACAGAGCAGGGAGCCCGATGCGGGACTCAATCCCAGGACCCTGGGATCATGACCTGAGCCGAAGGCAGATGCTTAACCAACTGAGCCACCCAGGCATCCCACACCGATGTTTTTAAATGTTGACTTTGCTGTTACTTTCCACATGACACTGAGGGAGAAATGTCAATGACCCTAGTGCCTTCTGCCTAAGAAGATATGTGCCCTAGTTAGCTAAGGAAGAAAGCCTCCCTGAATGTTTGAGGTATGGCACAAGCCTGAAAGAGAGGTTTAGAGTTGCTTATTCTCTTATTAACCCCAGGAAAAAAATGTACCTGCTCCTGGATTAACCCACTGTCAGTGATAGATAGGTATTGATAGATAGTGGAGTTTGTAAATTGTTCTAGGCTGAACTAAATATGTGAGCTTTGCAGAATTAAATCTGTTTCTAAGTCATTTACCCACTGCTGCTACAAGTTGTTTCTTGTTCTGTGTTTAGGTTTGTATCTGAGCACACTTCTGTTCTATTGGTCTGTGGTGTCTGTTCTTGTATCTTTCCCATGTTGTTTTTATTGCTTGGCTCTGCAATGTCTTAATATCTTCTTAAAAAATTCCTCCTTTTTACTCTTCTTTTTCAACACGGACAGCTATTTATAGATTTTTGATGTTTCACATACATCTTAGGACAAGTTTACTGCTCCTTAAAAATTCATCAAAAATTTTTATTAAAATTGAATTCACTAGATTAATTTGAGGAGAACTGACATATTAAGTCACCCTATTCAGGAGTATAACTATTTATTCAGGTAATTTTATATGTCTTTAAAATTTTATGATTTTGTCCATAAAAGTCTTGTACATTCTTGGTTAAATTAATTCCTAGATACGTTATGATTTTTGTTGCTATTATGAATGGTGTTTTCTTTTTACTTTAGGTTGGTTACTTGTGGTGAAAGAAATACTACTGATTTTTTATAATTCCTAAACTTTTCTTATGAATATTAATAGTTTTTTAAAATTCTGTCGGTTTTTTCTAAGTTGGATGACTATTTCTGCAAATAATGTTTTACCTTTATTTGTCCTACACTTGGACCGCTTTTCTCTTTTTCTTTCTTATCCATTGGCCAGGAGCCTTGATAATTTGTTAACGGTAATAGTGCTATTGCTGGTCTCATGGGAATTGCATATAAATAAATCTTCTCTATTTAGTATAATGTTTTCTGCAGGTTCAAAGGTCTTTTCCTTCACTATTTTAAATATAATACTTTATTTTCTTCTTGCATCTAATGTTGCCTTGAAAATCTGATATCAACATGATTCTTGCTCTTTTTTAAATGATCTGTTCTTTCTCTCTGGAAACTTCCATATTTTATTTTTGTCATCAATGTTCTTAAATTTCTCCACAATGGGGGCACTTGGGTGGCTCAGTTGGTTAAGTTTCCAATTCTTGATTTTGGCTCAGGTCATGAGATCGAACCCCCCCCTCCTCGGGTTGGGGTCCATGCTGGGTATAGAGCCTGCTTAAGTTTCTCTCTCTCCAGATGGTGGACTCTGAAAAACAAACGGGGTTCTAGAGGGGAGGGGGGTGGGAGGATGGGTTAGCCTGGTGGTGGGTATTGAGGAGGGCACGTTCTGCATGGAGCACTGGGTGTTGTGCACAAACAATGAATCATGGAACACTTCATCTAAAACTAATGATGTAATGTATGGGGATTAACATAAGAATAAAAAAATGTATTTAAAAAAAAAAAAAAGTTTCTCTCTCTCCAGCTTCCCCTACCCCTT